ATATATTCCATTCCACCTCGACCTTATATCGACTGTGGCTACCACGTAACTAGCTGATTTACGTGTTCAAAATTGTTTTAATATAACGTACTCATCTCCCTGTAGTTTTCACTAATCCTTTGAATAATGGTTTCACTGCGCATATAGTGTGTACATGCTGTATGTTGTATGTACTATTACTATAAATATTGTGTTAACTGAGTGATATGTAGGCATATCATGTGTTTTCTGCCTGCTTTTAATATAACAGACATCTCGACCACAACGGTATTTATCGTATCTCAGCCTGCCTGATGAGCGCTAGTAGTGCGCGAAAGGCCTTGTTGGCATTGGATATAGTAGATGTAGTGTGGATGAATATTATTAGTCTTCTTTGCTTTCACTCAGTTCTTACAGTTACTATTGCAGTGTTCTTCTGGCACTGTGATCACTTGACCCGTTCAGGGATAAAAAAAGACTACCTTAATGGTTCGTTGGTTCTTTTGAATAATAAGTAAAGTTAATTGAAGTAAAATAAATAATATAAAATATGAATAATTTAGTGCTAAAATAAATAATTTCATGTTAATAAAAATCACAAACATAATTTTGATGTATAATGATTTAAATAAAATTGATCAAACATTTACAGTTCACCAACTTAATAATAAATATATTAACATATTGAATATGTACCAATCTATATATATTGAATATTATAAACAATATTTTTAAGTGATCCCTTAATATAACTTTTTGAAACGCTACTTATTAAACAGGCTTTTAACCAATGTATGTTTGCCGTAGTGCGGGTATGATCGCATACCACAGGCTGGAAGTCGCAAGAGTAAGCGCTTGTCACTAGGTGACATGCAATAAGGTAAAGTATAGGTTAATACACTTCAACGTTTTTTTTTTTTGAAGAAAATGTATTTTGAATTTAATTGTATTATCGTATGTGCATTTGGAAAAATCTATTGTGAACTAAAAATAAGCCTAACTGTCCATTGTTGCCTAATTAAATTTTTAACTTGAGTTACAATTTATAATTACATAGCATGGATGATAGAACTACAACCTACATTTTATATGTTCAACTAGAACTTAGAAGTTAGAATTTGTAGTTATACTTATAATTTATATATAATATAAAGTACAAATCACTGAAAGTGCAATTTGCATTATAAACTACGACTTACAATTTGTATTAACTCATTAAGTTTAACTTTAAGTAACGACAATAGTTACAATTTGCACGCTGTGAGTTGTAAATTGTAGCAAGATTACAATTTACAGTGATGTAGTACTTTTTAACAATATTATTAAGATTAGTTCTGGATGCTTCTGCTACAGTGCTAGTTATTTCAATATTTGTAATTGATAGCTAATTTTAGACTTAAGTTTATTTGTCCTGCTATGTTTAGATATTAATATCTTAAATTTGAAAAGAAAAATATTAGAAATCTTTATAATAAAATTAATAAAGGCTTTGAAGACTGTTACAGTCAGGAGTTTGAGAGTAACCAATATCAGTGAGAATTAATCAAAAGAAAATTAATAAAATGTAAAGCTTGAGAATTATAAATTTTATGTACCATGAAAGTAAAGAATGGGAACAAATGGGAAGCTAGAAAAGAACCCTATTCTGTGAAGAAAGAAAGATAATATCATGTGGATTGTTGGCTCTTTTTATAGTGTTAGGGTAAAGTTTTTTGAAATACTTGAGATAAAATAAATTCATTGAATTGATTTACTATACTGCTGATCAAAAAAAGAACAATTATTATAAATCTAGAGCAACTAGTTTTTAGCAGGTAATTACAGCTGTTTTGGTTAAATTATACTTCCTAACATTGACTGAACCATTTTGATAAATGAATTTAAAAAATATAACATTGGCTATATATATATATATATATATATATATATATTATTACTATTAATTTTAAGTTAACTATAGTTATTGTAGTGTACAGTACGTGTCTTACTTACTATACTACGAAACTACTATGTAGTTAATTTAAA